AGGGGCCAGTCCCTCTGTGTGGGACCACAAGAGACACAGCATTCTAGATTCCAAAGTTGAGAGAGCCTACAAAGGAACATGTAGGACGATGGAAAAGATACCATGGAAATCCTTCTCTTTCACTGACTTCCACTTTTATCATTGAAATTCAGGCTAGTGGCCTCCACCACCATCTTGAAGTTAGTAAGAATTGGGAAGATGAGAAGAAAGAAGACAAAGTCAAGGGCTGAGCTACGAGTTCTTCATGAACAACGTGTCAGTTCCCTCTGGGCAGTGGTAGGCCCTGTCCTTAACGCACATTTCAATGACCTGAGCCTGCCTAACAGTGCACTGAATGTGGGGAGCACTGAAGATGGACAGCAACTGAAGCCTGGAAAGGGCATAGGCACATGTTCAGAGCTTTTCAGAGGTGATGAGTCCACAAAGGTCCCTTCCTGGTTAGTGAGGCAAAGACTGTCATAAGGAGGCCTCACACCATTCTGCCTGTGCTACTGAGGACACAGCCCTCCTTTCTGGTCAGTGCAGCACCCAGTGGCCACCATGGAAGCAGAGAGCAGCCCTGAGCCATTGAAAATCAAAGCTGCCCACCTCCATTTCGGCTTCCCTAGCCTCCACAGCTGTGAGGAAATACATGCTGTCCTTTATAAATCAGTCTCCAGTATTTGCGTCTGGCACTGTGGGTTGTGCCTAGGGGGCTCAACCCACGGTCCTTTTTATTTCAAGACAGGGTCTCAGTAAATTCCCCAATGCCATCTCCTGTGCCCTTTGAACATTTCCTCATGATTCGAGCAATTCCTTACTTTTGGGTACAGGATGTTAAAAGACTCACTTTGGACATTGCCAGCCCCATTCATTTTCCCAGGGAGCTCTGCATCCTTTCAGCAGGGAATATTTAGCAACCTAAATAAACCTAGACTTTGCTAATGAAGAAAAAATAAAAAATAAATTAAAAAAAGGAAGTAGACTAAGGACAGATTTTGGAGCTCTGTGCAGATCAGGCCAGGATTGGGTTTCACTCCATTGGCCTTAGGGAGCCAACCATTGGGAGTGGTGGGATACTGTGGAGAGGGAGGAGACAAGAACTGGAGAACAACTGGAAGGATATTCACATGGTGTGTTTGTCTTTTTTTTTTAGTACCAGGGATTGAACTCAGGGGCACTCAACCACTGAGCCCCATCCCTAGCCCTATTTTGTATTTTTTTTTAGAGACACAGTCTCACTGAGTTGCTTAGCACCTCACTTTTGCTGAGGCTGGCTTTGACTTGCACTCCTCCTGCCTCAGCCTCTGGAGCCAGTGAGATTACAGGTGTGTGCCACCGTGCCCAGTTGTGTCTGTACTTGTTGAGAGGAGTCCTATAGTCCTGTCAGTCTGAGGATAGAGCAGTGATAGTATGCAAGTGAAAAAGGTGAAATAAAGTGAGAAAGATGGACACAATACAGGAAACAAAATAAGAAAGAAAGTGTAATCAGTCCATGATGTGAATCATCTGTGAATCGCACATAATCACAAGTTTATATACTGCCCATTGTTTTAACTGATCATAATATAATTTCGGGGATATGTTTGTATACGTGTGTGGTGTTGGGGAGAATATAACAGATGGCAAAGACCAAAATAACAAATTTATTCATGAAGCAGGAAGGCCTCCATCCTACAAAATAGAATGAAAGCTCACATTGGGCAAGAGCAGCCAGGCATGGGTGGCTCAGTGACTTGGGAGGCTGAGACAGGAGGATCAAAAGTCTGAGGACAGCCTCAGCTATTTAGCAAGACCCTGTCTTAAAAAATAAAAAGGGACGGGGATATAGTTCAGTGGCAAAGCACCCTGGATTCGATGCCCAGTACCAACAGAAAAGAGTCTCCATTGGGCAAAAGCAGAATACTGATTTTATAAGATAGGTACAAGAAAATGATTATAGGGGGAAAAAAAGCTGATTGATTAACATTAGGTTACTTCTTTGTGAGGGTTAAAGCACAAGGGACTTCCTTTTTTACTTTGACTCAGGTGGATTGAAATATGATGTTTCCAGGAAAAACTGGTCAAATTGGGACTTATCTGTTTTAAAATTTGGAATGAGGTGACTCCATTCTGGCTTGGTCTGATCTGTTGTAGTCTGGTAAGAAATTCAGTGTAAAACAACAGCCTCCCACAATTTTTGTTTAACAGAGGATAGAGTCTTCATCTTCCATGGAAAAAATTCAACAATATTTGAAACTGGAAACTGAGCTGGGCATGTATATAGCCCAGTCATAGGCTACATGCTTGGCTCTGGGCCCACTCCCCAGTGCTGCGAAACAAGTGCATAAAATAGCAAAATATTTGTTATTTAGAAATGTGGAGGTAAGGTTGGGCATGGTGGCCCACACTTGTAATTCCAGCCATTTGGGAGGCTGAGGTAGAAGGATCACAAGTTCGAGGCCAAAGCCTCAGCAATTTAGTGAGACCCTATCTTAAAAAATAAGAAGGGCTGGGGATATAGCTCAGTAGTAAGGTGCCCCTGGGTTCAATCCCCAGTACAAAACAAAACAAAAACAAAAACAAAAAAAAAAAAGGAGGTAAATACCAGAGGAAACAGCTTAATGAGTTAAAAATGGAAGTCTGGTGGAGCAGACAGCAGGCAGGGGAGGTTGCTTCTGGGCTGCATCACGTAAAACTATTTGATATGTTTTTGAACTATGTTTATATTTCTTTTTAGAACTATGTATATTTTACCGACTAAGACATCATTTTAATGCAACTTAGAACATATGAAAGCAGAACATATGACATCAGAGTTGGCATGGTGGCTCACACCTGTAATCCCTACCACCTGAGAGACTGAGCAGGAGGATCCAAAATTCAAGGTCAGTCTGGGCAACTTATTGAGACCCTATTATTGCAAAATAATTATTTAAAAAGGGATAGGGATGTAATCGATTGTAGAGCACCACTGGCTTCAATCCCCAGTATCATAAAAAAATAGAGCAGTTGTTACAGTAATGACAAAAGAATGTAGGAGGGACCCTATCAGGATGGTAGGAAGGGGAAATAGTTCAAGAATTTAAACAGGTGCATTTGACATTCCCTGGTTGACCTGTGGCAGCAGAACTCAAGAGAGAGATGGAAGTAATCAGTATAAACAAGTCTGAGTCTCAGCCTCCACCTCTGAGGTCTGCAGCCACAGTTCAACCAGGGGCAATCAATCAGTAGAAATAAAACCCACCAAACTTCCATGGGTTTTCTCCCCCACTATTTGAATGAACTAATAGGGCAGAGACTCAAATGGGTTCTGCTCAGCAAGTCTCACCCTCTACTACCACTTTCCTCAGAGCTTCCAGATGTGTTCTAGATGGCTGTCCAGCGCCTGGAGCTCATCCCTGACTTCCACGTATGTAGAACCCTGCCTCTCCAGCACTGGAGTGGACTGCGGTCCATAGCAGTTCCAAGTGCTAAAATGACTTTGATGCCTAGATGCCCAGTTCTTGTGTGTCATAGATTTTTTTGTTTTTTGTTCCTGCTGTAAGACAAGTACTCTACTACTGAGTCACACCTCTAGCCTAGATGTGTTTTTGAAATATAAAAAAATGTCCATCATTTGTTTCTTAATGTTTGTGGAGTCTTTACTCTGTCTACTTGAAGTCTGCTGTTGGATATCTGTTCCTGCTGAGGTCTGTCCTGTTATCGAGCTCCACTAATCTTGTTCCACTTAAGCCCTTAGTATCACTGCCACCCAACTGCAATTCCATTCTAAGTGGTCACTCCAGTTCAACCAACACAGTGGCCAGGATGACTGCTTCCTCTGCCACTCTTATTGGATACTTTTCTTTCCTTGGTACTGGGGATTTGTGAGAAATGACAGTCCAGTGCTCCATTTTAGAATACAGCTGTAATTGGACCCAATTGTAGCCATTTTAATTATAGCCCTTCACTTTGATCCCCCCAATTTTAAAATTAGCTAATCAGGTTTATTGTACTCAAGCTCCTCCAAACAGGGCAAAGGGCAATAATAAAAGTGGTTGGCCTGCCTACCCCTGCTGGCTCACTAGCCAGGTTTCTGCAGACGCCCTTCTACCAGGAGCAAACACCTTACCCATCCACTTCTGAGCATGTTTGGTTGCTTGCAGTATTTCTAACAGGATTGAACCCAGGGGTGCTTAACCACTGAACCACATCCCCAGCCCTTTTTTAAGACAGGGTCTCTTAAGGCTTCAAGTTACTGAGGCTGATGTTGAACTTATGATCCTTCTGCCTCAACTTTCCCAGTTGTGGGGATCACAGGCCTGCGCCATGCCTCGACCACCTGACCCAGTCTGATGTACAGAAGTTTTCATGGTCTTCAGCCTGCTGTTCTCTTGGCCTAGAATGTTTGGCCCTCATTTCTCTGTCTAGAGAACTTTTTTCTCTTTTCACAATTCCATGCCATATCCTCTAAGACTTCTCCCACTCATCTTCAAAGAAATGGCTACGCGGCTGGGGTTATAACTCAGTGTTAGAGCACTTGGGATCACCTGGGTTTGATTCTCAGCACCACATATAAATAAAGGTCCATTGACCACTGAAAAAAGAAAAAAGACATGGCTCCTGAAGGAAAATGGGCTCCCTTCTCCCTAGGTGATCAGAGGAGTCTTCATCAGTGATCAGGTGGCCTCTGACCAAGAATTTGCTGGGAAGATTTTACTTTTCTTTCTTGCAATTCTGGGGATCAAATCAAGCATGTCCGGCAAGTGCTCTACTAACTGAGCTACCGCCTACCCCCACCCCCAGGTTTTCGCTGTTATTGTCCTTTAATTAAATTTACTTATATGCGGTGCTGAGAATGGAACCCAGTGCATCACACATGCTAGTCGAGGGCTCTAGTACTGAGCCACATCCCTAGCCCCCAGATTCTCTTGAAGTGAGAAGGAGACAAGGGTCTGGCAATGGCAGGCCACATTCAGGGACCTAGCAACGTAGCCCTGTTGAACAACAGGCTGAGAAGTGTACCCTGGGGCCACTGAAAAATCTTTGAACTAAGAAAGGCCATTTAATAAGGAGAGGATTTAATCAGCGCATTTCTGGTTGTTCTGTCCAGATTCTGGACTCTGTGGGTGCCGGCTGTAGCCGCTCAGGCTCCGTGCCCTCCGGCAGTCGGCCGCTTTCTCGCTGCGCACTTAACACAGAACTCTTGATTTTTTGCGTCTGTTATATTTTTAGGGCAGTCTCTCCTCTTGTTTTTTTCCCCCGAGAGCATCCAGCACGGCGCCAGGAACATCGTCGGGTGATGGTGAACACATCTGATGGATGAATGCACGTATTCTGAGATGTCCTTTAACTTCTCATTCCGAAGACCCTCCTATGTTACCCTTTCCAACAAGCCTCGCCTAGGAACAAGCGGAAAACTATCTCAACCACACTCTCGTCCACAAGTTAACTTTGGGGTGAGCAAGGCTGGGGCTCAAGCCGTGCTGGGGCTCAAGCCGTGCTTGGGCAGCACCTCTACTTGGGGAAGGTCTCTGGAGCGATTCCCGCCAACACCTCCTCCAAGCCCAACCCCACCCAAGCATTCCCGGGCGTGGCCCAGAGCGGCGCCTTTAAGAAGGGGGCGGAGCACAAGTGGAAAGACAAAGCCCCTGGCCGCGAGCTCCCCCCTCCCCCCTCCGGTGCACCACACGGACAGTGGTGCCCGGATGTCGATGTCGCCGTCGGTGACAGATGGCGCAATGTCTGTATGTGTGTAGGAGCTTCACTGGCCTGACCTCCTTTAGTTCGCAGCCTTTCGGTTCCCGCAGTCCCCCACATTTAACTCCGCCGCTGGTGGCCCGTGAGCCTGTCACCAGCGCTTACATAACGTGACCTTTCACCTCTTCAGACTGCCCTCTAGTGCGCTGCAACCCAACTACGCAGCAGGGGCAGCGGGGCGGGACCCAGACGCAGAGCGGCAGCTGCTCCGAGCCAATAGGCAGTGAGCGCTGACCAGCTGTCCGCCTATTGGAGCATTCGCTGTCGGCGCCACTGGGGAGCAAGTTAGTGTGTGCGCTGGCCCGGCGGGGGGAGGAGGGGAATCTCCCGCCATTTTTCAATAATTTCCTCCGGTGCCGCTGAGGAGGAGTCGTGACTACCGGCAGTGGGGATCCGTGGCGAAGGTTGGCCGGGGTGGGCTGCCGAGACGCGCAGCGCTGCGCGTAGGAGCTCTGCGCCCTTGCGTGGCGCCCCATGGCGGTCGCGCGGCCGCGCCGGCAGTGAGGGAGCGGGA